GATGCGTGGTCGATTAGGAGGTTCTGGGGGTATGCATATACTCTACTCCCTTTTATTATTCATACCTAGTACTAACGAAGTATGCAATACTACAGAAAATCATGGCACCAAACCCTCCGCCAACTCCTCTGCTCGAACGCCGACTTCGTCTCGGGATCTATTCTGCGTCTTCCGGTCCGATTCCAGTGGTGCTTCAGGGTAATTTTTGCATTCATTGTTTCAGGTTTAGTGCACACGGGCATGGATGTAGGGTTCGGGGTGCGGATTGATGAGAGCGGAGCATTGTGGTTCTTCGCGTTACAAATTCTGGGTGTGGCGGGGGAGATGGTCGCTGAGGTGTTGTTGTCTCCTGTGAGTGTGTTTGTGCCGAGAGGACTTAGACGTGGGGTTGGGTTTATTTGGGTAGCGGTTTTCATGATGTGGACTTTGCCGGTGTGGATTTATCCGATTTTGGTCCAGTTGTATGGAGATGGCGTGCGCATGATGAGTCCATTCTTGGGGTTGGGGGGATGGGATATCTGATTTGGTTTTGGATTGCATAGCGTTGGGGTTGGGTATTATTGTTATGTTAGATTATATTAGATTTATTAGATGTATAGTAGGGATACTAGTGGTGGATATAAACTATAATGCTGCGTCCCAGTCTACCCATGCGAATGTATTCAACAGGTCGAGATGGGGGTCTGCGCCTATAAGGTCCGGTAGCGCGTCTAGGGCTCTCGTCGGACTTTGTAGCGATGCCGGCATGCTGAGGATTCGGTCCAGTGAGCGTTGTAATATTCCCTTGATTTGCGCCTTGGCTGCGATGTCAGATTCGGAGGGCCGGAGCCAGTCGAGAAAGGCGACCAGCACACTGAGATTCTGGATGATGTCCGATCGGGGAAGATCTAAGGTGTATGTTTCGGGGGAGCTGGATTGACGGAGAAGCTCGAGGCAGAGGATGCCGCTGCCTGGGACGGCGTAGGACATAGCCTGACATGCTGGCTCAGTATGGAGTAGATGTATTTATTGGCAAGGGGTGGAGTATCGTACCAGCCAAGAGAAATCAACGTGGTTCTCGAACCGGTCCTTGTGCTTCCAATATATTAGGGTTAATCCTACCATTTCATGGCTAACCTGGGTCAGGGCTTGTTCGTCGACCACTCTGTGTCGGGTCAGAAGTCTCTCTAGGATGAACAAGTTGAGTAAGAAGTCCAGGCGCACAAGAACGCGCAAGGCGAGCAGCTGGCCGGGGGTGTCGCGGTCGTGGATGTCTTCTGTCTTGAACTTGATGATCCCAGGAAACTGTGCATAGATGTCTGTAGCTTGTCCTTTGAGTTGACTGTGCTTGTCAGAAGTTGTGGGCGATTAGGGATGTATCTTGGGCTGAGGGCATACAGGCATGTTTGTACTGCAGCGTCAGTGATGTTATCCTGAGAAGTCTCTAATACTTCCAGCATCTCTTCGCGGTTCCTTGCTAGCATTGCGCGCGCTCTTAGGATTGTGGTTGGATACGGTTGTCGATCCACACTGCTGTCCCAACCATCGGAGTTGAGCTTGGCTACGGCATTGCCAATCCTGTCGGAAAATATGTCCTCGTCGTTAATATCCAGGGGCAACTGAGTTGTCGAGTATTTTCTGTTCAGAAGCGGTGGTCTTCCGGTGAAGGTAGAGATAACCTTGTCGAAATTGTAAATCGATGCGTAGACGCGTCGTTTGAGTTCGTGCTGGAAAGAGACCTCCTTCCCGTCGGACGACAATTCTCGGTGAAGACCAATTGATGTTGTGACTGCAATCACATCGCCATGTTGTCGCCAACATGAAAGACCTGTTGATCAGCTGTGTGTTCTCTGTGCAGATATCCTAAGCAGGACTTACTCTTATCACCGCTGGCAATGCTCTCAAGGATGTTATGCTTGAATGCCAAATTCACAAAGAGAATGTTAATAGCACCCAGCTGGCTACACAGCTCGATGCACATGGATGCACAGCGTTTAAAATGCACCATGAGTTCTTTGGGCCCCTTGAATGCATGTTGTCGACAGTACTGAGTAATGACATCGTGTTGCACCGGCAACTGTGAAGTCGCAGACGACCAAATAGTGAACAATGACCCTAGCAGCTCCCAACGCGTTCTCTTTCCCGAGAAAGACTCGATCCAGCGGTGTGGATTCTGTTCAGCCGGCAATGGCGTGAGACTGCACTCTGAAAACCGCCTCGCAACATATTGTAGGTGCTCGCTGTTTCGCAGCCGGAGCACGTCTCGATACTCATCCCACATCTTATCAGAAGCGATCCGATAAGCTGGCCGGAAGCAGGCATCCATTAAGGCCATTGGATGGACGAAGAGCAAGTTGCAAGTTAGCTCATCCGGCAGGTTCTGTAGGATCTGGATCCCCAGTTGGAGCATTCTCGGTGTGATGGTAGGGTTCCCCGGCTGAGTGGAACTTTGCACCTCGACGCGATTGATGTCTTCGCTGGCTGGAATCCTCAGTGCTTGGTCCACTTCGAATCGATCCCGATGTTCCACGAACACGGATGCGAAACTCGTGGGCCCCAGGTACTCGGCTGAGCTTTCCAGTATTGGCGTGGTCGACTGTGCTCCGGGGCAGGTCTTGGTGCTTGGGGGCCCATCGCTCTCATTGCTCAAGGCAGTCGGCGACTCAGCCTCAAGCAGGCTTCTTACTCTGTCTTTAGTGAGGGGATTGGCGAGATAGACTCATTTCAAGGACAATCGCCGACACCGCTGGCAAGAGGGGGTTTCGTGGTCGCAGGCCAATTTGCGCCGGCGGCATGCCTCACACGCAGGCTCTCGGCCATTCTTTCTCCTGAGAGCGGGCATGGAATAGATCGGAGTAGCCGTTGCTCCCAGATAAGAAGAACCACATCGTTACTTTTGATGGTGTTGTCAGATGTAGATAGTAGATGGCTGATGTGGATGCTGGAAACGGAATCGGCTTCGGCTTCGGCATGGATCGGACTCAAAAAAGTGGGGCGCTCAAGAAGAAAAAGAGCAAAAAAGAATGACCAGACTGGGGCTCGATCCCAGGACCTTATCGGTGTTAACGATACGTGATAACCAACTACACCATCCGGCCATTGCATGAGAAACATCTGCATTATTGGCTTCATGTCTGACGTTTTACTAGATATGCGGTCGCTACTAAAGCTCCTGAAATCGAGCTCGAGGCTTATATACAGTTATGATTTGCCATTCACCATGCCCGAGATTATACTCGCATAAGGAAGAGCATCTTTTGAATGAGAAGGGATCGATAATACCTACTCGTTACGGGCTGGTCTTTAGTATTTCTGTCTGCTCGTTGTGACGGATATATATATATTGTCCTCCGTCATCATGGTACTAGTATTGGAAATAAGAATGTAGATTATAAAAGTTTCATTGTGTTCTAGTTCTGCATTGGGTACTTTTCGGTATCAACATATATCCGAACATTCGTCTATTCATGACGGACGGCTATCTCGACCCTGTAAATCAGTCGTATATCATCAAGAACATGGCATAAGGCGTGTCATCATCAACATCCTCAATGTTTAGTTATCATCATGCTTCAACTCGACCGTAATGATCAGGGACAGAATGAATGTCGTCAAAATGATCTGCTCATGTTAGTAATATCCCCGGACATGAATACAGCGAGTCACAACTCACCAACCCAATCAAAACCCCAATACAGTTCAGCTCCCACCCCCCCGCATACACAGTCCCCAGAGCCACCACATTCTGCTGCTTCCAGAAGCGATACGCGCCCATGGCAGCTATCAGAATTGCCACGCTATAACAGCTAACCGCCAGGGGGACCCCCACTTCATAGAACCCCAATGCTTGATCCGGCGAAGCTAAATGCTGGAGTCGAAATAATTGGGCGATCAGCACACCTTGCATGGCGACCATGACCGATGTGCGAATGTAAGCTAAGAAGGTTCGCTCTAAAGCTAGAAAGCAATGGGGGATGTCAGCAGCAGCCCTGCATTCCTTCTTCGTTGTTGTTGGTGAATGGATGAGCTCGTGATTGCCTGGCGCCATAGCCACGTGCGATTGCGCCATTTTAGTGGCATCAATAGTCATTAAAGCATATATCGGATGGAGTAATATGCGAAGTATATATCAGAAAGCGAGGTGCCCACTCACCGAAATGATCCCGATTACTCTTCTGCGGCACCGTCAACACCACATTTCGCGTCCAAAAGCGACGAACCCGTCCTGTCAACCCCTTGCTTGTGTCCTCCCGGTTGGAATGAGTGGTGCGGGAAACGGTCCGATGTGTGCGGATACGATATTCGCCCGAGGAGATCGATTCAGTTGAAAAGCCGGCCTCATCGTCATCTTGGGTGGCTATATTGCGGAGCTCGAGGGCATCCAGGTCGTTATCAGTGCTTCTGGCGTCGTCGTCATCGCGATGAGGTCGTTGAGCTGTGTGGCAGGCAGCTGGTGGGGTGAGAATCTCCTCGCGACCGGTCGCTGCAGCGATCGCCTTGTCTGGTGCAGAAAAATGGTCCTGGCGATCAACCATGATGTACAGCAAGCTTCTTAGCTCTCGCACAGGAAGCTGTGTGACATGCTGCTACTGCTGCTTCTGGGGGAAAAGATGGGAAAAGGAAAGGGTCGATGCGGTGAAGAGGCGTCACTGCTGGCTGGCAGGTTCCTTGGTTTGTTGGTCGGCGACTCCCCCCTGCTTTCCCCGGCCCCGGCGCTTATCTGATTGGGTTCGGATACTCGGCAGTGGCAGAGCTTATTGCTCTTCCAAGTTTGTTGCTATCAAGGAATCGCCGATTGATCGATTTTATTCGCGAATTGACCTCGCCAGCGGGTATGACGTAATATATTTGAGGACTATCTGCCTTGATTATATTATTGAGATATAACTTCACGACAACGAGCAACTATCTCGACTAGAATCAAATCTCAGAAATCCCTCTGACCATCACGCGAATTATCCCCTCATTCACACCTGGACCCTAACTCCGCTAATGCTCCACCCAAGCTAACACTGAGCACACTATACAGTGTTAATGCTCACCCACTCCTCCTGCTTATCGCCGAAAAACACGGATTCTGGCTTTGACACAATGTCAAACAGCGCTGCTTTCAGGTACGCTTTACCCGGCACCTTTGGCGACAACGTGAATAGTGGGCTATGTTCAAGCTGCATTAGCATATGGTTCTAAGAGCGAAGCAAAACTAACAACTGACCTTCCACAACTCGAGCAAAAATGACGCTATAAAGACGGATTTAGCTCGGCACGCTTCAACTAGTGCCCTTTAATTGACGGGAACCCACCTGGACGATGTTCCCCGAAGAAGTGTTGGGATCGCTGTAGATCTTCATTGCCTGGCTGGGGTCTTCGATGGTCATGTCACTTTGATTGATGAAGTAGTTGATTGAGAAGGCTGATTGGGGTTAGTCCTGGGCGGCTACTGCGGAGTAGAGATGGAAAGCGAAGACATACAGCCTCCTCCAGCTTTCTTGCAGTTGATGCTGTAGAGTATGCAATCAGCTTAGATCCTATACTAATGGTTGATTGGTATGGGAGTATAAGATTACCAGTGGCAGGCTACACTCCTCTCCGGCTGTGCCGGCAGGGTGATAGAGACGCTGGTGCAGTTACAACGGCCGGTGTAGGGCATCGTTGAGGTGCTGTAGATGGATGTGGAAGATGGATTGTGATGACTCGATTTGTGGCAGCTTGCCGGGATTTAAAGGTCAATGTCAGGGGCAGGAGAAGTGGAGCATTGTTCATCCACATTTAAACCCACGTTTCACACCAGCAATTCGGAGTTGAACCGATTCAAGGGAAGAGGTCTTTCTCCACTCGAGTGGATCTCTACCCGATGATGGATTGATAATTAGCGTTTACCGCCCGTTCAGATGCCATACATGCCTGAGGCTGCAAATGATATATTGAACATCTCTTAAGCCCGACTGTGGTACTTTTTGCCAGGCGGATGATACTATCTTATCAAGGCTCAAATGGATAGATAAAAGAATTGGCGGAATTGATACACAATTTGAACGACTAGGAATAACTATATAACACCGTAATGGCAGAGGTTGGGCATGTTACCTTGGCAATGAGGCGCACACTAAGCCCACCATCCTCTTACTTGGCAAGTCTGAAGCATTCCATTTAAGGCCTGATAATCAACAGTCCTTCGTATAAGCGCCCCTACCATAAATGGAGCTCAAGCAGTATACTGTATGACAAGTCCCAAAGTGCCCCGTTGAATATGAGGCGCCATCCCATTCACAATATCGGCCGTGGAAACTGTTCAGATCCAGAATCCGATGTATATGGTCCATCTTGGTCAGAACCTCGTCGCACTAGCTATTTTTCGAGTACGTAGCAGCAGCACCCCGAGCAGTAAACCTTCCAGACGGACCGCTGTCGAGGCTCGTCAGACACCCGCTCTTAACCTTGCGAATCACCCGCGTGCAAAACTCCACTGACCTATCCACCTCTTCCCTGGTTAATGTTACACCGGCATCAACCGTCCCTTGGATAAAAGGACATAAATGATCAGACGCCACATCAAAGTTAGTCTCTTCCAGCCCGTTCAACACGGCTTTTTCCCTGCTGTGGATTTGCTCCATTGCACTGCGCACTACCAGTAGAAACCGCATGTAAGCTTCGCCGACCTTGACCGAATGCCATTCACCCGCCTCTTCCTCTGTGCAGTCACCCCTGGGGCTCGCGCAGATCGTCACTGCCGCCGATAACCCACCCGTCATGGCAAGGTGCACGCCCGATGAGAACAGCGGGTCGATAAAGCAGCCCGCATCCCCGGCAACACGCGCGAAGGGATGTGCATACGTAGTTGCGCTGTCTGACCAATCTGCTGCGGTCCTGATCTCCGAGGACACTAGATCAGCACCGTTTAGCAGTTGCGCAACTCCCGGCGTATCCTGCAAACAAGTAAAATTAAACTCCTTGTTCGACTCAGATCCATACGCTCGCTTCTTCTCTGCAACCCTGTCCTGCTTCAGCGTAATTCCAACTGAGACCGTGCCGTCATTCAAGGGGATGAACCAAGCCCACCCGCTCCCGTCCGTCACGGCCTCAAAGTACGGATCCCCGTCCCTTGGCCCGTATGTGCCCGCACCCCGCCAGTATCCCCACAGCGCCATACTCTACAGCTGTTTATTGTGGACCCGAGACTTCATGTATTTATTACTCATCAGGCCTATGTGCTCGGAAGCATCAATAAAATACTCGAAGTGGATTGTACTGGTGCTGCCGTCCTTTTTGCGGTTCCAGGTTGCGGACACGGGCCTTCTACCCAAGTCTTTGTCTTGGCTTTCTTGTTCGGTGTCGGTGTTGCTGGTCGTTGGTGCGAAATCAAGAGCCTGCACTTTAGCCCCATCGAACACAGTTGCACCGCTATGCTCTGCATATTCGAATAGAATCTCGTCTGCTTCAGAGCCGAGGACGTTCCACGCATGGTTGCCTGCTCCGCCGGCGCCGATGAAATCCGTGTCTGCAGAAGCGTTAACCGGGTGACAATGATAAGACTGCGAATGGAAGAAAGCGCGGCACTTACAGCCCGGTTGCTTGGAAATGAATTCAAATGTTGCGCCATTCTATATCGTGGTTCCTCCATGTTATTCGAAATTCAAAGTATAGGTATGAGGGGAAGTCAGAAGAATTGTGGATACCTTACGCAGAAAGCCACCAGCACTAAACTTGTCGTAGCAATCTATGAGATCCAGAAAGTACCCAACCGAGGGCAGAAGGCTTTCTCCAATATAGTACCGAGGAAACTCCTCTGCTTCCAGTAACACCGTGTTGATTCCCTCTCGAGCGAGCACAGACGCCGCATAGGAGCCCGCGGGTCCGCCTCCGATAACGAGAACTGTGCAATTTTCAGGGATAGACATGATGGTAAGTGGGGATGGATCGCATTCAATGTGAAATTGCCGTAGCACATTGTATCATCAGAAGTATTCAGGTTGGGTATAAGTACCCTGGCGGTCCACGGAGCTTCGGATCAGCTAATCTGTACCATTGTACTAGGTGCGGGCAATCTTCGCTCTATAATCGAATAATTACTATGTAGGTGAGGGTCGCTTACTCGATAGCCCTGTTGTTAGCTCATGAAGTTGACATGCCCAGTACCGCACTAGTGATTCATCCGCCTTATATCGACCTATAATTCAGACGTGGACGGCGGAATGTCTGTGTCGACGACTAAATGAAGCTCTAAACCGGCTCATTGGCCGCATACTAGTGGACAGCAGGGTGGTGGTTATACAAGAGCGAAAGCGATGTTACACAAAGATCGTCCATCGAAGAGTTTTCCTCGAACCGAGGCAAATAAGATCTGGGTTGGTCAGCCAACCTTGTGTGTGACAGAGAACGCTCTATCGGATGTGTTAGGTAGCACACGATTGATGTAACTACGCTGCAGTTCCATATAGTGTGTAAGGCTGTACACGCCATACTATCTTATCCTAGACGGTCAATGAAAGGACCCGAACCGAAGAGAAAGAAGCCTGCAGGCGGAGGAACGCAACTTCCAGATTTCATCTCAGATGCATCATTTTGGAATCAAAATCCACACATACCCACTCTGCACCCCCTTTTCTCGGTAGTGCTGCGCCATTCTCATGCAAATCACTCACGCACTAGTAGCTCATTCTGCCGAGCATATTTGCCAATATCAATGGACCAGGTCAAAGTAGTTAACATCAAAGTGGGCATGTGATTCGTTTACCTTACCTATATACCAAGGGTTGTAGAAGCGTCATGTCTATTATGCGGTGTAAGAGAAGATGGAACTGATGAAAACTGGATGATATCGAAAAGCCTCGCAACATAAGATCTACGCTTTCCGTGCATTAACTATCAGGCATGAGGGGTCTAAGGACTAGGCACCAGGCCTCTGCATGTCAGCAACAATGGCAATTTGTTATAAAAACATTGGGCAGACACGTCTATGACAGAGCAACTTACCTGTTTGAGACAGAGAGACGTTCACAGCAGACTGACAAGTGGGGCCTACATTCCGTAGGGTTGCTCCAGAGGGTGACTGCTAAATGGTGATCCAACGGCAGGAACTGGGCAAGAGTGGTCCATAACGGGCGGACTTGGAAAGTCAGATGCCGTCACCGAATTCAGGACTACCCAAAGGTGGTCCTCGATAGATGACCTATAGAGCTATATCTAATCGCACGCTGTTACTACGCTTGTGCTACTACTTCAGTCTCGATTGCCTGCAGGTCTGATTTTGATGGGGAGGCGCCAGTTTGGAAGCCACGGATTGGCACGTATTCGATGAGCATGATCCAATTGAGTAAAATACTTACCTTGTAGAACCACAGGGTGGTATGAAAGTAATATGTTCTGGGCGTTAAGCTGTCATAGTAGTTGTCAGACCCCAATATCGAGAAAAAGCATAAAACCTGGATATCTAGTGTCAATACACATTTCAGCGTGTCTTCTCTTTTCTTCTTTCTCTGTTTCCACCGGGTTCCCCGCTATTGGCCATTACTGCAACTGGGGTACTCCCCTTTGCCATCACAAATCAAGCGTTGAGTCACATCTACTGTGTGTCACATATTCACCGTCAATTGTATCATTTTCAACTTTGCCGTCAACAGTATGCATTTCGCGGTAGCTTAAATGCTCCCTTAGAACGATAGCGATGGCTTTCCACGATGATTGCTACTGCGTCATGTGTCGACTACCAATCCATGAATGCATACGGGCGATGAGCTTCTGGTAGGAAACGAGAGCTATCGCAGTCGCCTTGGGTGCAGCAGGAGATTTGTAATACAGTAGAAGCGGGTTTCAGCTGAGCTGCCAGCGCCATGACGCAAACCCATAATATTCCACTGCACCCATGCAACTGAGGCAGCGAATGAGGATAGAAGTCATACTAAGAATTACCCACACCACAATCCCTACGTGTCCAGTGCTGTGTAACACACAAAGCAAGAAACTAAGTATTCATTTAAAACAGATCAGGGGCACTAGCATTCCAAGACATGTCCTATGCAAATACAAGCAATGTCAGCAGAGGACCAAATTCCCCAGGTAAGCCACGCAATAATCGGGTTCCCCGCTTGCACTCTGCATGCCAGCTGAGATGCGGGGAAGTCCGACCAGCGAGCCCCTTGATGGTTGATGTAACACAAGTGTACGCAACTGCATTGGGCAACTTAGCCCTGTCGTTCCGGAGGAGCTGAGCATGCAGGCAGCATTCCCGTCACTGGGGATCGCATGAGGCAAGGGTCGACTTACTTGATCGTCAAGAAATACAGTGTTGCCGTTCTATCATGACGCTCTTGATCCTCTCCATGAAGAAGGCTTACGTATTACAGACATGAGATGTAGTATCAAGTACGGATAATCAAGCTACCTGGCCGAGAGGTTTCTTCAATACCCGTACTGTATCATGCTGGCTTTGCTGCTGGGTGGACGAAATTGCCGAATATGGTATGTATTCGGGGCCATGTACAAATGCAGCGGTTCTTACGAGTATCCCACGGTAGCACTGGGATAAGAGCAGCATGAAAACCTTCGGTTAAGACATCATGAAAAGTCACAGTAATAATGATAAGCCAATAAGAAAAGAAGATCCTCCTCCTTGAAGCCCTCGGCGTTTGTGCAATGCTACTGCGGCATTAACAAACTGCAGGGCTTATGTCTCGCTGTCACCGACGGGCCACTGTCCTTAACGACGCCTCTTCTGCTGAAAATCGCGCATTCTCTCTGAGGCCAGCCAGCCACGGATGGCAAGAACGTAAAGCGTGTGATGTCTATCACGGAAGGACCGGACCGGTGCCCCTAGTCGAGATGGAGGGATCGCTGTATAAATAGGTCCCTTCCCTTTGGTTTACTCAAAGACTTACTTTCTCAATTGACAAGCAGAACTCAATTGACAACCCGCTTTACTCTTCATAGAAAAGAATCTGAACACCCAAAGACTCACAAACCGCAATATGGCCGCGATATTAAGCTACCTTCGCCAATCTCGTGTGACGGACCAAGACGACGAACTCTCCGCCACCGTCACAGCATGGGCTTCATCGCCTTACTGGGGTGAGATTGATATCAAAGATTTGCGCGACAAGAACAACGATCCCGTGGATTTTACCAAGGATGACTTCCTGGGTATTACGTTTCTATCTCCGGCCAAAGTCGACGATGTGAATGTCAATGCTTCAACCAACCCCTGGTACCAACCCGATCCCGAAGTTAGCAACCTCTCCAGCGGTGACGAAGTCGAAGTCCACGTGAAGCTCAACTTTCAGCCTACTTTGGATGGGGACGACAAAACGTTTCAAGTCTCAAGTGTCCAGCTGGGAATGGCCGGCGATCCTCAACCTGATCGTTACAAGAACTCGGTGCGTCTCTGGAAGAGCTATCTGCCTGATGAAACCGGCATTGTCCCAATCGTATGCGATAGTCAACCGGATGGGATTACCTCCGCCAACCAAACGGTGATCTTTACGAACGATGATGGTCTCACCATGCGCGAGGTACAATTCGGCCAAAAGACTGAAGTGTCCTTGAATCGGGGTGAATACGAAGTCTCAGCTGTGGAATTGTTCACAGACGATGAAACCACAGTTGCCACCGCGAAGGCTGAACCAGACCAGGTGGTGGTCCAGAAAGGGGACACATCCCCGACTATCAATGTGACATACGATGTCCATCACCACAGCTTGACAGACGTTGTAATTGACAGTATCCCCGGACTTGAAGGAGAGGAGATACATGTCAACTTCAGCAATGCAGGAGCTCCGCTCTACGACTTTTGGAGCTTTGTCCCCAAGACCACCAGGCCACGTCGCGTTCTCCCAGCAGATGGCAATGCAATTATTAGCGTGGATTCAATCACTGTGAATAATGTCCAATATGAATTCACTCCGAAGGACATTGTTCTATCACAGAATGAAGCCGTCTCGTTCACGGCCGACGATGTGCGCCAGACTCAGGTACAAATTCCAGATGCCGTCAAGCTACCCATCCAGCTCAAGAAGCAGGACTCGATAGCCGCAGGGAAAATGGTCGTGCATCTCATCCAGAAGACCACCCGCCTTATTTACAAGGCAAAATTGAACGTGAAAGACGAAGGTCCTGAGTTCCCGGTTCCGGTTGCCCCGGGGGACTACGAAGTACAGGCAAATCGGTTTATCGAGGATGGAATCCTGTATAACGTTACACTCCCCCCCAGCCTCAATGTTAGTGATGATGGTAGCACTGTACTTGAACTGCAGGTGGATTTTGCTGTCAATCTCAATGTCCCTGGCTTCCCCAACTTTCTGAGTTTCGGTGCTTGCACCCGGGACCTCAGCGAACCTACGAAACCGGATGACACTGACAACGACTTAACAGACTTTGTGCAAGCTGGTGCATCGTCAATATTCAAATATGCTGGTCAGGGTGGCGACGGCGACCCCAAAGTTGATCTAACAGAGAGTCAAGAATGCACACCAAGAGTGATTGCCCTTGCGAGCGATATCGAAAAAGCCATCGGAAGCGATCATACTGTTCTGCCGGTGTTGATATCATATACCTGCAACTTTTCTGGTGGGAACGATGTCCTGACAGATACCACCAGACACCGCCATAGCCTTGGAAATTTCATTCAGTCGCTACAACTCACCATGAAGAGTGACCAGGCGCCACGCTCTCTACGCGCTGCGTACATCCTCAACCCCGATTTCATTGGCGAGTGCCAGAAGCGTGGCTACGAAGCGGACTCAGAAGTACCGTTCCTCAATGCTCTGAAAGAAGCCCTTGAATACCGGGGTGAAGCAGATAAGGTCGAGCTTATCCCTAGCGACATTGACGATACCCTTCGTGGATAAGTACGTGCACTACACTGGCTGGTGCGGACTCTGACGAAGGATCCCGACACCGGTAAGCCTGCCGTTTCGCTCGGATGGCAGGTCAATCTCTGGGCAGGAGAACCCGCCGGTGCAGTGTGGATTTACACGGACGAAAACCAGGCATCGAATAAGGCGAAGAAAACAGCCGACTACTTGGATGTCCTCGGGGTATGGCCCAAACAAGCTTCCCAGCAGGCGGATGAAGATGAGCTAGCTCCTCTCGACTTTCTGGCCGTTGACCGCTGGGAACGCGATGATTACAGAAATGATAGCTACTCTAAGTTCTTCTGCTTTGCTCCGCGCGAATGGAGCAGGTATTTTGATTTCTGTGAAACGCTTGGCGCAGAACTGCATGCCCCGATCATGCCTTGGCAGGTGTCTGCAGCTCGTACGCCAACCTTCAAAGATGACGTTTCGAACAATTTCTCGACAGCACAGCATTGGGGTACCGGGGGCAGCTGCATTTTGGGCGATCCAGGTATTGGATCCGAGTACTACCGCATCCATAAGAAGATCTTGTCGCTGGGATTGGATGAGGTGCAATTTCACGTTAAAACCGTGGAAGAGCTATGGAAGCGCTCTCAGCCCTTTGATATCAGTATTCCAGGTTACCAAGGCCTTCATTTACGGGGAATCTTCGCTGTCCTGCTAGGTGGTGGTGACACAACCGGCATTGTGAGTAGCCTTCCTCAGGCTGGTGAGAAGCAGGATGCTTGGGTGCGGGAAAGACTCGGAGAATATATCAAGGGCCCGATTTATTTCCAGACCGATTGAGGAGGGAGCGTGTAATCGAACGCTAGAACTGAATTCAGGACATCGTTGTCTGCCGTTACTGCGATTCTCGGGCTTCTAATGTGGCACTAGCCACCTGTACTTTGATTTAGGTGGAACTTGCAAGCTGTGTTCAGGATGGAACAAAATGACTACGAGTTAAATGCTGAGGGCCAGTGCTAATGATTATAGCTTTTGAACATTATGTTTTATGTACGCGATCATGTTTGTGACCGAAAATGGAAGAATGTTTATTGTCGTTGTGCTTTTCGTTGCATCAGAATGGCGAGTGGGATGTCTTCCTCGTCGTAGAATTCGACGTCCTCTTCGACCCCAAAGTCACGTAGCCGCTCGCCCTCAGAGTTCTTCCACCCTTCCTCGCCATCTTCGGGCTCAGTACTATAACCTGGCGAAGATTCCCGAGAAGAGCCGCTTTGATTTATTTCTTCCTGTGCCCGATCATGGAAGCGCTTACGGCGTCTGATTTCCTGGCTAGCTCTCGGCGCACCTCTGGGCCTTTCATCCATCCTCCTGTAGATTGCTGGAGTCTGGGGCTCGACATCATCCATGGCTGTTCTGGCTGTGACCGGGATTCTGTCTGGGTCGGGAGGTGGCCAAGTAACATTAGGATCTATTTGGGGGTCAGCCGTCATCAATGTCGGAGCCATATAGTTTCACTAACCTTCAAAGTCGTTCACTTCAAACTCTAATCCTGTCCGACGATCAGGAGTTCTGGCCAGCGGCCAAAACCAGCTCAGAACCTAAATAGCAGATTAGCTTGCAGCAGAGAAAAAGTATGTTAATACAAATCAACCAACATTTGCAGTTCCGCCCATTCCAGCCTTGATATTGGACCAGATTCCAATATCGTACGGAAACTCTTGCTTTTTGATCCGGATCCTGACGCCACCTGGTCCGGTCAAATACCCACCGAAGTGACGAGACCGACGAACCAGCGTTTGATGTCGTTCAATTTCCCATTCTTCGATGGTTGTCGTATTAATGCTCATAGACCAGATGGTCCGACCGAGAAGTATCATGAGAAAGAAGACCGTGAAGCTGTTCACTACAAGGAGAACGAATAGATGACCCATCTGCAGCGCACTAGGGCCTAAATACTAAGCAACTTCTGCATCAGCTTGCGTCATCTCGTCTAGAGTTATCATCTTACGCTCGGACGATTCCGGGACGCCCAAATTATCGACGCTCTTTCATAGAGAAGAGTCTCGAGATAAGACATTCCTGTTACGGCATAGAACAGAAAACGCACGAAGTGAGGGAACGTGAAGTGCGAGACACAGTTCGAGGTCCATGGGCAATGATGGTCCATCTTTGGGATGCATCTGCAGCTGGCATCAGTATGAAGCCCTAGGCTATTGATTTGATATAACTAACCTTTGGCACGTTCGACAATGGTGGGCTCTTGGCGGCTTGTATGCCTCACATTTACGGCACCATCGTTGACGACCACTAGCACGGTCGGCTTCGAGTTGCTTACTGTCTAATGGCTTCCAATCTCTGGGAATGCGACCAGGATCTACAGTGCAAGTTCGATAATAACATATCCAGATGCACAGGGCAAAGATGTTGAGGCGCCATAGCTCGGTGTCCCTGAGCGGAGCTGGCTCGAAGTACAGAAAGAAATACTGCGAGCTGTACGCGAGAAAGCTAATCAGGATGCAAACTGATGGAATCGCCAGTTGCGACAACCGGAATGAAGAGCTAGCCATGCTGATCGCACATCACATCTCCGAGTCCAACCACTGGCAGCACGCGATAAGATGATGGAGAGGCAGACAAGACAGAATGTTGTCGATGTTGACAAGCCACGTGGTGTGGCTGACTCAGCGCACGTGATCAATGACCCATGTTGTGCGTGGAAATACTCCTTCACTCATTCTCCATCTCCATTGATCATCAGGACAGTCTATTGCATCGTATACTTCATCTAAACTCTGTTGTATAGTATATATTTTGAAAGTATTCACCGCTCATCTTGTTCAAAGCCACCCAAATGACTGACCAATTACCTGTGTTCCGTTAAGGATGCCAATCGCCGCGCTGTCGCCTGAAGCGGTGCGGGCAATTGGCTCCGCGTCTGTTATTTCCGATCCCTGCTCCATTGTCAAGGAGCTCCTGGACAACGCCTTGGATGCCACAGGTACTTCGGTCTTCATCGAGATCTCACAGAATACACTTGACGTAATACAAGTGAAAGACAATGGCCACGGCATCCCCACCAGTGACCACCATTTTGTATGCAAACGCACTTTCACTAGCAAGATTCAATCCGTCGAGGATCTTAGAACTATCGGTGGGAAGTCCCTAGGTTTCAGAGGCGAAGCGCTTGCTAGTGCAGCGGAGGTATCCGGTGGCGTGACCATCATCACTAGAGTACCGCATGAGCCGGTCGGGTCTTCTATCAAATATGGTAGAAATGGCGAGCTCCTAAGGTGATTTCCACCGCCGATTGAGATAGTCCAAAGCTGACCTACGTAGTACCCAACGAGCGTCACATCCGGTAGGTACCAGTGTCCGCATAACGGACTTGTTCAAACACATTCCTGTCCGGAGACAAACTACGATAAAGAACGCTGCCAAGACGCTCGCGAGGATCAAGAAGCTCGTACAATCATACGCTATTGCTCAGCCCTCCAAGCGTTTATCCCTGAAAGTCCTCAGAGCAAAGACAGAGACGAGCAACTGGATGTATGGCCCAGGCAAGGACGCTTGCCTCGTGGATGCTGCATTAAAGGTTGTTGGCACCGAAGCTTCCTCTAGCTGTCTTGTCAAGGCCTGGCCACCTGAGAATGACAGCGACAGGTCTTTTCGGATACTCGCGCTTCTCCCAAAGCCAGATTCTGGTATGTAGCTGCTCTGTAAGTACTTGAATGTGGCTGACAGAGTCAGACCTTGCCAAGGTGAACGGGTTGGGTCAGTATATTAGTATCGATGGCAGGCCCTTATCGACCACCCGAGGGGTCGCGCAAGATACTGCCAAATTATTTAAGTCTTATATACGCTCACTTGCTTCCAGTCAGGAGCCATCTCCAAGCATTACTGATCCGCTTCTGTGCCTTCAGCTCCAGTGCACTAATGCAAGCTACGACGTCAACATTGAGCCCGCCAAAGATGATGTCCTTCTCGAAGACCAGGAAGCGCTTCTCTCCTTGGTGGAAGAGCTTTTGTGTGATGTGTACGGTATAGAAGCAAAACCAACCGAGAAATCAAGGACCGCCAATAAAGAAAAGGAGCCTGCTCCTTATAGAAACTCGTTTGACATCCTTCTTGCCAGGAAAAGTCCGGATGACTCACGGGCAAGCAGTTACGCCTCCTCAACACCACGGACCCCGGCTGTAGAGGAACAACATAGCACACACACAGAGAATCGTCTGAAGCTGAGAAGTGCGAGCAGCATCCCCTGGTCAATACCTAAAGAAAGCATGCCGATGCCGACACGCAACGTTTCTTCGTCGCCCAGTGATACGGACAACACAGGAAGGAGTGAAATTGTGCGATATCCGACTGAAAGCCGAAGAAACTCATGGGAGAGACTGCAGACAAGCTCTCCAGGGTTCATCTTACCGAGTCCCTCTGCCAGCTCGACGACTGCTCCTGGCTACGTGACTGAAGCTCAGTCTTCGCTGTCTAGTCTAGGAACACCTCAAACTCCTCATCCCAGGACAAGGCAAGCCTCAATAAACCATAGCACGCATCTTGGAAACGGAGCCCTTGATAGCTGGTTAGGGAAAACCCCAGTCCCCTTGTCTCAGCCAACCATTGGTGAGGTACCTGTAGACGATGGAGACGAGCGCTCATTGCAGCAGTTGGCGCAAGAGCGATTTGGCTCATCAGAAAGGCCACCAAATAATACAGGATCAATAGAGAATGGCGTTGCTACTGCTCAGAATCAATATCCCGAGACCCAGGCTAGCCCTGCAGAAGCAGAAACAGAGCCAGAAGAAATTGGTTCTCCCTTGCTTGGAAGTACCGCAGACTCCAAAATCAGAGAAGATCACGCGCCTGCCCCTGAGAAGTCCTCCACTACTCTACGCCAGCTTCTTTCAGGAGATAACCACCAGGAGCTGGACCGTGCACTTGACTTTGAGAACCGCAAGAGGGAAGCTATCCTTAGGCATCGAGAACAACTTAGAAGTCGGCGAAACCAGACCACAACGAGTTCACCCCATATGAGTCGTTATCTAGCTGCCAAGGCTGCACTTCACAGGCAACCCGACGTTGACCGAGAAGACGAGCCGACCATGAAGCCCGTGCTGAGTCCACATGACCCACGGTCGCGTTTAATGCGTTACAGGGCGCAAGATCAGAATGAAGATGGTATATCAAGAATTAGAAGGATCAACACAGACAAGTTGCCATTGGAAAACATTCCAGATGGACATGAACTATATAGTCTGGGTCTGACCCAGCAGGCCGACATTTCGCTCATATCGACCACATACGACCATATAACCAAGACAGACCTGTATACTGGATGTGGAGATCAATTTGTCGCCTTTGACCATTCACATAAAGATACAGAGAGGGTACTTGATATCTGGAGGTATCGACTTATCAGTATAATGCAGAGCAATTACCAGACTGAAGAACGGTCGGGATTGCCGGATGTGCATTTCAATTTCTCTCGTTTAGCGCAGCGCGGGCAATCCAAGTGATACATAGCATTCTTTATCTATCTTATCTTATCTTATCGGCGCCAGCTAGCGTGACCTGCTTTGCATGAACTTTCCCTACCTAGACACAATATGTTAATACGTTAATATACAAGGTAGCAAACATAAATCTGAACTAATGTATCCATGCGCAAAACCTCGGCAGGAGTGATCAGGGTTCAGTCTGGCCCTGGCAGGCGGCTCCACTAGCCCGCAAAGCAGTGAACGTCATCGTCATGACGCCGTTACATAAGACTGACATCAACTGACACCCCCCTTCTATAAAACCAAATCCAGTTCCTCCCACAATCCCAATCTCTTTCAACTTCA